CTGAGTTACTGGTTCTAGGAGTTTGCCACAAAAACCATGAACAAATCCAGGGCTTGGGGATCCAGAGGTTATACAAACGTCTGGGCCCTCTTAAAGCTGCCGGAATGGGAGGAAAGGTAGTCAATACAGCTAGCACAGTTGTCAGGACACAAAACACCATTAGCATTCAGGTCTGCATGAGGACCCTGGTGAGCAGCTCCTAGGGAGGAGACAACCCCCCCTTTTAAAGATCAAAGCATTTCATCTTCCCCACCCTGCAATCTCCCCAGGGAGACTACAAATACCAGCTCACCTGCCTGCCACTGCTCAAAATCATAGAAAACCCCACATTTCCATAGTCCCCTAGAATCTTGGCGCCAGAGATCCATTCAGACAAGAGAACGCTGGGCTAGGGACCAATCCTCCACCACCCCATACCTAGGGAAGTCAGCACAATTTGGCTTCTTTAACCAAACATAAATCCTTTTTCCTTTGGGTCTGGCGTCAGGGCCAAAAAGAGCCAAGGAAGGGCTTGCTCTCCGTAACCTCCTGCTTGTGGATTTTTAAAAAGACTGTGTCAATCCAATGTTTGCTGCGGACCTGAAAGCCAATGGCAGGGACCCCTTGAGTGAGCAGTAATGGCTCTTGGCATCTGTGCCCTAGTTGGACCCTCATGCACCAAGGCATCTGCAGAGGGTGAGATAAGGAGGATCAACACGCTCCTCTCCTTTTCCAATTTTAATATCAAAGGACGAATGGAGGGTTATAGTTGGTAAAACCATTTCTAGGTCTCTATAGAACTTATTGCTAATAAATGGACGTGGAGGAGAGGAAGTGGATGTCACTCTGGCTCATCCTTGAGGGAGTATGACAAATTCATGTAATTTAGACTCTAAAAATGGAGTGGAAATGACATTGCTCTCTTCCTGCTCCAGATACACCTGAGGAGACTCATAGACTCAGGGATAGATTGTTATGAAGGTCAGCATGGTCCACACAGGACCCTAGATGTTCACCCTGGAACGCCAGAACAATGGGCTAGTCCAGAGCCCTTACCAGCTGGATGGGAAGTGCTCGTGTTCGGCTTCCCATGGGAATAATGGCTTCCTTCCCGTGGCTAGAAGACTATGTTATCCAAAATAACCCCACGTCTCCAGGTGCCTCATAAAGAACAGGGCCTCTGGCTTTCCCAGACAACTCCTGTAAATGGCTGGCATGACATCTTAAATATTCGTTTACAACGCCCTGGCAATGGGCAAGAAGACACCTGATTGCTGGTATTGCTCCTAAATCAGTCAGGAGCAAAGCAGACCTACAGTCCTTGGTTCTTCCTAGCTTGATGTCTGTGTTGGTGGCCAGAGATGTTTCATGCCCGGGGCACATAAAAAAAGCTTTTACAGTAATTTTACTATAAATTGTTTCTGTGTATTTTGGAATACACAATCAAATATTTCGTTCTTTCTATCTGAATACTTGATCTAAAGAAACAAAAAGAGGAAAGTGGAACAATTTGGGAAAAAATATGAGAAACTGAAATACCATGCTGAGAGCCTTTCCCCTAAGAAATAATAATAATGCTGACTATGAATATCACACAAGCCCTCATCTCTTACCAAATTATTAATATACAATTAAAACAAGCATTGATTTGAGTACTTTGCATTTGTTTTATAAACTAAGTTATTTTCTTTGTACACTTCTAAGGATTCTAGGAAGAATAAGGCATGGTCAGCAGAGATTTGTAATAATAATACATATATTTTTCTTCACATATTGAGCATCAGTGGAAATATTCTGGTTTTGTAAGTGTCACTCTGTGCTCAGAACTGCCCAGGCTCTATGACCATGAGCCTCCAAGCAGAGCCCCTCCCGTCTCGGTGAGTCTCCGAGGGTCTCTCTCTGTGAGACAGGCTGTGCTTCTTTCCACTGGAGCTTCCGGGACCAGTGGGGACTAAGCACCCTTGTCCTTCAGATACTCTTCCACTTTATCCTGGTCCATTGCATCCACAGTAACACTGAAACTCTTCATCTAACGAAACTTGGCAGTTCTGACAATGGAAGTATTTTCTTATTATCAGAATGGCTTAAACACTGCCTGGTTTGGTAAACTTGATGGATTTCTGGAAATTAGGAAGTGTTTCTTCTATGTCTTTTAAAAAGAATTCCTCCAGCCCTGGCCAGTATGGTTCAGTGGTTAGAGGGTCTGACCATGCACCTAAGGGTCTCAGGTTTGATTTCCAGACAAAGGCACATATCTGGATTGCAAGTTCGATCCTCGCCCTGGTCCTGGCACATGCGGGAGGCAACCAATTGATGTGTCCCTCCCACATCGATGTTTCTCCCTCTCTCTCTCTCTCTCTCTCTCTCTCTCTCTGTCCCATCCCTCTCCCTTCCACTCTCTCTAAAAAATAATCCTAGGGTGAGGATTAACATCATCAAAAATAAAATCCCCGCCCTGGCCGGTTTGGCTCAGCGGTTAGAGCATCAGCCTGTGGTCCAGAGAGACCCGGGTTCGGTTCCCGCTAAGGGCGCGTACCTCGGTTGCAGTTTGTCCCCGGTCCTGGTTGGCTGTGCAGGTGGCAGCCACTCGATGTGTCCCTTTCACATCGATGTTTCTCTCTCTCTCTCTCTCTCTCTCTCTCTCTCTCTCTCTCTCCCTCCCTCCCTCCCTCCCACACTATCTGAACAACAAAAATAAATTAAAAAAACAAAACAAAACAAAAAAACAGCTTTAAAAAAAAATAATAATAATAAAATAAAATAAAATCCCTGCAAGCCACTCCCCTCTTGGGAACATGCCCTTGCCTCCCCCCCCCCCCTTCTTCCCCTCAGGCTGGCAGCTCCTAAACTCTAAGGGTCCCCAGGAGACCTGCAGCCAGGGAGCAATGGGTATCTGCAGCTCATCCCACCTAACCCTCTGAACCTGGCCCCAAGGCCCCTTTTTCTCTGACTTCCCAGTGAGCCAAAGCAACCCCTTCTAGGTTCATTTCTTTTTTAAAAAACTGTTTTTTCTTTATTGATTTTAAAGAGGGAGGAAGGGAGAGAGAGAGAGAGAGAGAGAGAGAGAGAAAAAAAAACATCGATGAGAGCCCTGTACAGTTTGGCTTAGCAGTTGAGCATCAGCCTGCGGACCGGAGAGTTCCAGGTTCGGTTCCTGCTAGGGGCACGTACCACAAAAAAAAGATCAGTGAGAGAGGACATCGACTGGCCACCTTCTGCATGCCCTCCACTGGGGATGGGCATGTGCCCTGACCAGGAATCAAACTGGTGACCTCTTAGTGCATGGGTTGATGCTCAACCACTGAGCCACACCAGCCAGACTAAAAGTCTTTTCATCCTGACAGTTGTCTAGTAATGGATGTCAAATACCAGTAGCTGAATGGATAACTGTTACAACAACCACAGTCCACTTTGCTACTACTCTAAGAAGCATTTCCTGGGTAGCAGAAATAAAAAATAAATGGGAGAAGACAAAGGTTACACAAATATCTCACAGGAAGCTCGGAATAACTAAGGCATCTGAATCTTTATGGTCTATAGATTACTCAAATAATTTACACATGGAGACACTTTATTGTTCAGAAAGTACTTTCCATATGCTTCACAGACATATCATTTGAACTTCAAAAAATGTTTCAGGGAAACTACAGATTAGACAGGGTAAAAAGGTTGCCCAAATTTAGACAATGGGAGTCGGGGGGGATAGTAAGCAGGCATATCCAATCCTTGAATTATGGACTTGTCACCTCTGAGCTCATGGTCTTTTCCATTAATTATACCACAAAGCTTCCCTGAAGCCAACACTCACAATATGCAAAACTGTTAGCATTAGAAAAAGAAGTGAAAAGAAATTTGTACAGAATTCTCCATAATCAATTGTCCAATAGATTTTGCTTATGGACTTAAGAGTTGCTCAAATTATGAAACCTAAAATATTACACAATGACTTCTCCCTTGTGTGATAAACCTAAATGAAAAATTATGAATCACTAGAAGCACTATTTAAGAAATATGTATTGAAAATTAAGACTAATCAAGAGATAGAAAGGAAAACAAATAATATCAATTGGATAGCAAGTACGAGAAAAATATGGTTATTTTATTTATTTATTTATTTTTAAATACAGTTATTTTAAAATTTCATCCTTTATTATAAAAGTTTAAGTATACATAATTCCATTTAAGACAAAAAATCTAAATGTGTAGACATATGTGTTTATCATTTGGTACACCTACATATATTTTATAAATTATTATGTTTACAGAATTATATTTCTATGTAGAAACTGAGCATCATTTGATGCTAACTCCATTGGGTAAAAGTTTATAGAAGAGGATTTGCAAACTCTCAATTGATCAACCCACATATGATTATAAAGATAAAAAGATACCATTACAATGGATAAATCTGATTGATAATAGTTTACTAAACTGATCAAATTTAACATCACCAACAATGGGACAAAATGAATCTAAAAGTGAGAGAATAGGAGACACAACAAAACCAAACTAAGGGTCATTCTGAAAAACAACCAGCCTATACTTCTCAAAAACTCTTTTACTTACACAGCTGAAAGTCTAATTTTGTAAGTAAGCTTTTATTGAACCAAAATGCTAGCTTAGTTAGCTGGTTCTCAACCCCTGACAAACTAACAGCTCAAACTTGCTGCTACACCCTCTCTCTCCTCCTGCTGTAATTTGAGAACATCTCAGAATTATCCACTGCAGGTGATATCAAAACAAGCAGTGTCTGTGGCATCTAGGCCAAGACAGAGGCCCGTCCATGTTCAGGAGTGGGCTGAGAGTCCCTGAGAGGTACCACAGCATCGTATAGCATTTGTCCTGATGGGGAGGTCCACTTCAGTGGCAACTAAGAGTCCTGATTGTCATAGCAGGGGAATCACCTGGCAGCTTCAGAAATGAGTCATTTCTAGGAGATAATTCATCTTTGCTGGGGTCAGGCCCAGCCTAGCCCAGATTGTGGCTGGGTTAGGAGGTCCTGTGGTTCCCATGGTCGAGGGTTAGATACAGCCATATTTGACTAAATCTTCCTCAGTGATAGGCTCAAAGACTGAAGCGCATCCTTTGGTGGTGAACATGTCCCAAGACTCCAGAGATGCAGCTACCTCCAGCTTTAGTTCCATGGGATCAGATGGTCCAAGAGTTTTCAAAACTGAATCTGGGGCCGGGAGCATGGAGGCGTAAGAGTGATCCATTCTTACAACATCAGCCAGGGTCACAGGGACCATGCGGTATCCAGCAGTGCCTGTGGGAGCCCCGATGAGACTGGGAGGAGTGAGGGGGATAATGTCCGGGAAATAGTCTGGAATACAGTCCAGAGAGAGCAGGCACGGGCCAGGGTGCATCGGTTCATCGGGATCCAGTGGGGGCCCCAAGGGTTGAAGATCAGGGGCACAACGGCACCCGGAAGCACTCGCAGGACACAGGGACACAGGGCTCAGAGGTGCAGGGTTGTCCAAGGAGGGCTTATCCACAGGCACAGGCTGGGCCTCAGGATCCAGAGCTGTGCGCTCAGTGCCCACTGAGCGGCGCCTCTTAGCTCGGGCCTGAACACTGGACTCTTGAGGCCCTTGTTCCCGAGGACGAGGACGGCGACCACGACCACGACCACGACCACCTCTGCCTCTTGGCTGGAGATTCCGGGCAGCTGGACCTGTGGTTGGCGGCGAGGATGAGCTGGGCTTGGAGGAGCAACAGGCCTGCGCAGCTCCGGACTGGGCGGCAGAGGCAGGAACCTGGTCTCCTGAGGGGCGCAGGGACGCCTGGCGAGGAGGGGCGCGGCGGCGGGGCCCACTGGCAGCGCCCACCGACCTGGGGGTGCGCAGGGCCCGACGGGGCTGGAGGTGCCTCAGGCCCAGCGCGCACCTCCCTGCAGCCAGGCCCTCCCTCCAGGCGCTCAGCTCCTGGCTGCCGGGCGCCCTGGGCTCCACGTGGTCCACCACGGTCCGGTCCTCCCCGCGTTTCCACAGCTCGTAGCGCTCGGGCTGCAGGATGCGCACGAAGGCGTCCATGGAGAAGCTCACCCTGGCCTCCCCGCAGCTGCACTGAGAGGCCACTTTGCCATAGTCGATCCATCGCGGGGTGGCAAAATTGATGGCCTCCGCACAGTTGAAGCCATGGTTGAAGCCAGCGTGGTAGCCATAGGGAAACGTCACCACGAACTCTCCAGCCTCCTGAGTGATCCGACCGAAGGGGATCCCATTGTCCTTGAGGACAGTGGGCGAGATGAGGGCCACCTTGTGCCGCAGGAAGGCCTCACAGCCCCGAGAACTGCCCGGGAAAAGCTCCTTGGCCAGACGTTCCAAGCGCTGGCCGTGTTCTGGGGGCACCGCGTACCAAGATTTGGGCTCCCCAAAGTGCAGGTAGTTGATGCTGTAAAGGTCCATTTCTTCCGTGTGCCAAGCGAAGGTGGTCTTCCACATGCCGAAGTACAGGTAGGGTGTGTTGACGCCTTCGATGACAACTCCACACTCCTGCTCCAGCAGGTCCAGAATGGTTCCCAGGTGGCCGAGGTTCCATTGTGTAGTGTTTGCATCAAATAAGGAGCCACTGATGTCAGCGCCGTAGATGGGTGAATCGTAGAGGCGTGTTTTCCAGTACTTCCGCTCCAGGTCCTCAAAATCCGAGTGTGGTGGGGTACAGTATTTCCAACTGTTTGCCAAGTGGCGATACTCCCCCACTGTCATGGCCCTCTTCTTTTTGTGGTACTGAGTGAACACACCTGCTCGCCCAGAGACCACCTGCTGGAGGGGAGTGGCTATTAAGATGTCATTGATATCATCATAGGTCTGTCTGGCTTTCCATTCCTTGGGTGGGATTATCTTAGCCACGCCAGCTCGGTGGGCACCTTGGGATTCCATGTAACCAATGTATGTGTTGAAATCCTTCAGTTCTTCCATGGTTGGGTGGAAGGTCATGATTGTCCCACTTGGGTTCTGGGTACGACTGTGTTTAGACTCCATGGCTACAATATAAGCAGTGGACTCCCAGGTTCTTAGGTATGTTTTAGGTACCTGAGAATGATGGGAGTAATGTCTTCTCTATTCTTTATTTTTTAAAACGTTTTGGTGTGTCTAGGAGACAGTAACTCAGAACCGAGCGTTTAAACAAATAAGCCTCTTCCAGGCTTGTGGACTCATCAGCGGGACTCCACTCTGGTTGGCTTTTTGAGTCTGAAGGAGGTGGAGTAGGCTCCAGCGGAGCAGAGACCTTGGGCCCTCGGGGCTCAGGCTGCAGCTCTGCGAGCTTCCTCAGTGGGGCGTGGGTAGCTCTGAGGCTTCTCCTGGTTGACAGGCTGAGTGCCTGGACGGCTCTTCACCCCACTGTCGTGGGAAGTCTCTGCAAGGAAGCTGAAAAGCTAAACTGGAAAAAACAAAAAACAAAAAAGCAGAAAATTTGAAAATAATTACCCAAAAAAACCACCTAATAGAAATGTTGACCCAAACCAAAGCCTGATTCTTAGAAAAGACTATTAGAAGTGAAAAGACATAAGCATGAGGAGAAAAGACAAGAGTACAAATAACCATACTCCTAATGATAAAGTAGGCGACACAGCCAAAAGTCCAGCAGGAAAAAAATTTTTATATATATTTTTATTTATTTTATTTGTTTATTTTTACAGAGAGACAGAAACGTGGGTGTGCGAGAGAAACACTAGTCCACTGCATCCTGCACCCAGGATTGAGCCCATAACTCGGGCTTGTGCCCTGACTAGGGATCGAACAGGGGCCTCTCACTCCATGGGACGACATCAATCCACTGAGCCACACCAGCCAGGAAGCAGGGAAATTTTTTAAATTATGGATTAATCTTATGAACACCTTGGTGCTAATAGTTTTGAAAACTAAAATGGATCACTTTTACAAAAGTGCAAATACCCCAAAATGGTTGAAGAACAAAGTAAAATACTGATATATATCTATAAACTAAATAAAAATATAACAGTGGTTTAAATATGAGAAGCTCGTGGGCTCAGCTATGGCTGCAGCAATGTCCAGTGGAAATCCACATCAGTGACTCAGAGGATCAGACACGATTTGGGGGTTAAGGGGCTCAGCTAGGTTCTCAGCGTCATCCATAAAAATTACATCCTTCTGGAAGTGCATTGTGACTCTTTCCTCATCAGACTTTTCAGTTTACTTCATGAGGCTAAATGCAAAACCTGGAAGCCAAACCAAAAAGGGCAACACTAGAGAAGTACTCTGTAGGGCCAACTTTATCTAGGGGCAATGATACAAAAAAAAAAAATTTATTTTATTCCTCTTTTGAGGATATTTTGGATATTTTTCTACTTATCAGATAGAGTGGGAGGGAGGTTGAGAGAGAGACAGAGAGAAACACTGATGTGATAGAGCCACATCGACTGGTCTCTCCCCCACAACCCGACCTGGACCGGGGACAAACCGCAACTAAGGTACGTGTCCTTGACTGGAATCGAACCCGGAACTAATTGTCCCTGGGCTGACCCTCTAACTGCTGAGCCAAACTGGCCAGGGCAAGATGGAAAAACTTTAAATAAAATTTTATCACGCCGTTTTATTTTTTCTTGTTAATCCACACCGAAGAATAGTTGCCCATTTATTTTTATAGATTTTTTTTATTGGTTTTTTAGAGAGAGAGAGGATGGGAGAGAGAGATAGAAACATCGAAGTGAGAGGGGAACATCAATAGGCTGCTTCCTACACACCCCCGACTAGGGAAAAAAATTGCAATCCCGGCATGTGTTACCCATAGTCAAACCAGACCTCTCAGTCCATGGGAGGATGCTCAATCCACTGAGTTACACTGGGCAAGCTCAGTGAAGTGGAAGGGAGGAAAGGAGAGAGAGAAAGAATGAGAAACTTTGAAGTGAGAAATACGTGTTGACTGGTTGCCTCCCACATGACCCCAGCAGGGCCAGGGATTTAACCTGCAACTCAAGTACGTGCCCTTAGGCAGGAATTGAACCCTCCACCCTTCAGTCCACCCGCCTAGGCTCCATCTGCTGAGTCATACTGGCCAGGGCTAAATTTTATTACATATTTACTGCAGCAGGGCTTTAAAAGAAAAACACATCATGATTAATTATTGCAAAGATTGTTTTAAAAATCAGGCAGTGTTACCAAGTACCTTAACGGATAAAATGGAAAAATGATCATCTGTTGCAAGCTGAAAAATATTTGAAATAACTCAACATTGATTTCATTATTTTAATACATACTATAAAAATAAAAAAGGAAAGAATTTCCACAATAGAAAAAGAGTGGTTATGTAAGCAATAAGCAGGCAAAAAGTACAGAAAGGAAATGTTCACACTCCTTACAGGCATTATTTTTATTGGGTAAACAGTTGAAACAATCTAATTAATTAATTAAAATATAATAATAAGTTTGCACTAATAGACAAATGCTTAGAAATAAAGGCTCCTAAACACCAATTAACGATCATTTATAAGGAGAAAGAGCAGAAAGTTTTTAGTTCTTTTAGAAATACAAAGCCCTAATGAAGAAATAAAAAAATGAAGTACATATAATATTTGTACTTTGCATAAATAAACCCACAAAAAAGTTGCTTTCTGATAGAAAATGTTATTGTTTTCAACTGTTATATGCTTTAAAGGGAAAACAAAAAAGTCTGTCTCCTGCTACTCTCAAATCTTGCTTCCAAACGCTGATACATTAAGACTGAGAGAATGATTTCCTTAAGGATTCAGCCTCTAAGTGAAACATGTTGGACTCAAGTCACATAAGGCTACATATGTCCCACCCCAGCTCGAATTCAGTCAGCACTCTCCCAACTCTAATACCACCATATCCCATAAAAATTTTTTTCTAATTTTACCACACATACATTCTTTTTTTTTTTTTTTTTTTGGTTCAGATAGAGTGGGAGGGAGAGAGAGAGAAAGAGAAGTATTCACATGAAAGGGACACATCGAGTGGTTGCCACCCGTCCGACCCAAATAGGCCCGGGGACAAACTGCAACCGAGGTACATGCCCTTAGCGGGAACCAAACCCAGGTCTCTCGGGACCGCAGGCCGACACTCCAACCACTGAGCCAAACTGGCCAGGGCACATTCTTTTTTTTTTTAATGTGTTTTTTTTTTTAATCCTCATTCGAGGACATTTTTTCTCTTTTTTTTTTTGTTCAGATACAGTAGGAAGAAGAGAGAGAGAGAAACATCGACGTGAAAGGGACACATTGAGTGGCTGCCAACCGCACGACCCAACCAGGGCCGGGGACAAACTGCAACTGAGGTATATGCCCTTAGCGGGAAGCGACCCGTGTCTCTCCAGACCGCAGGCCGACACTCTAACTGCTGAACCAAACTGGCCAGGGCTAAAATATGTTTTTATTGATTTTTAAAGTGCAGAAAGGAGAGGGAGAGATAGAAACACTGATCTGCTGCCTCCTACGGGCCCCCTACTGGGGATCCAGTGGGAAACCTGGGCATGTGCACCCGCCTGGAATCAAAAGGGTGACCTCCTGGTACATGGGACAATGCTCAATCCACTGAGCCACACCTGGCTGGGCCTATCTCATGTACTTTCCAAGTTCCTTCCAAAAAATTCACTCTTTTCCCACATCTAGAAATCCTCTTTTTTCCACTCAGTATATTAAGAAAAAAATGAACTCCACAAGTCTGGAAAACACTATTTAAAAATAAAAACTTGTTTTAACTCAAAGAAATGATATCCCAATACATATTTCTCAATCACAAAAAACATACAATTATAGTCCGTTCTTTCAACTTGTAATAGGGGGAAATCTCCTGTCCCGCCTGTGTGACTCAGTGGGCTGAGCGGAGTCCCCTGGACTGAAAGGTCCCTGTTCCATTCCCAGTCTGCGCACATGCCCAGGTTGAGGGCCGGGTCCCCAGGAGGGGGCGTGCAGGAGACAGCCGATAGATGTTCCTCTATCACAACGATGTTTCTATTTCTCTCTCACTAAAAATCAATCAATAAAAACATATATTCAAAAAAAGAAAATAACTCTTTTGGCCACAAGCACAAATAGCAGAAATAAAGTGACCTACCGTCCACCAGCATAATCCGAATTCCAGGTAAAGGTACTGCTGTACCCAGAGGGATCATGTCCTCTTGACAGCTGGCCTTCAAGTGCAGCTCCACATCCTGATGGGCCCGGCTTTATACCTGGGCAACAACTTAATCTAATCAGGATCTACCTTTGATCTTTATTTAGGGAATCCTTATTAAGGTGATAATTCTTGGGTCTTAGAGGGACATAAACTCCCTTTCTGGCTTTCGTACAAGGCTGGACATGAGTCATTTGCTCAGATTTTATATTTTGTTAAAGTAGAAAATTAAAGATGAAGGTGGAGAAGAAAGAGAGAGATGTCAATTGAATTTCTAATCGGGTATCTTCTGGTTTAAAAAAAGAAAAAAGAAAATCAACAATAAAAAACTAAACCAACCATATTTATTTGAAAATTAATATCCACATAATATCAAAAATAATATCTAAAAATCTATTAAATTTTATGTTCAACTCAAATAGTTAATAAAAAATATGCAAAAGAAAGATATGATGGAATGAAGAAACGAAAAAAAGGTATAAGAATAGAGTTTTTTAATAAAAACATTAATCTGTCCCTGACTAGTTTGACTTGGCAGTTAGAACATCAGCCTGCAGAACAAAGGGTCTTGTTTTTCATTCTTCATTGCAAGTTTGACCTTGAGCCCTGCTTGGGGTCATACAGGAGGCAGTCAATCCATTCACACATCAGTGTTTCTCTCTGTCTCTCTCTCCCTTCCTCCCTTCCTCCCTTCCTCCCTTCCTCCCTCTCATGCATTCTAAAAATCAATGGCAAAATATCTTCCAATGAGGATTAACCAGCAAACAAACAAACAAACTGAAAGGGTTAGTAACATTTCATAGGTTAAAGGTAAAAGCTTGAAAAAGGTGGAAACTGCCCTGGCCGGTTTGGCTCAGCGGTTGGAGCGTCGACCTGCGGTCCTGAGAGAC